GGGGACTATATGCCAGTGTTGGAGGATTGTAGGGTGGGTTGGGGGACTATATGCCAGGGTTGGGGGATTGTAGGGTGGGTTGGGGGATGGTAGGGTGGATTGGGGGACTATAAGCCAGGGTTGGGGGATTGTAGGGTGGGATTGGGGAACTATATGCCAGGGTTGGGGGATTGTAGGGTGGGTTGGGGGATGGTAGGGTGGATTGGGGGACTATATGCCAGGGTTGGAGGATTGTAGGGTGGGATTGGGGAACTATATGCCAGGGTTGGGGGATTGTAGGGTGGGTTGGGGGATGGTAGGGTGGATTGGGGGACTATATGCCAGGGTTGGGGGATTGTAGGGTGGGATTGGGGGACTATATGCCTGGGTTGGGGGATTGTAGGGTGGGATTGGGGACTATATGCCAGGGTTGGAGGATTGTAGGGTGGGATTGGGGACTATATGCCAGGGTTGGGGGATTGTAGGGTGGGATTGGGGGACTATATGCCTGGGTTGGGGGATTGTAGGGTGGGATTGGGGGACTATATGCCAGGGTTGGGGGATTGTAGGGTGGGATTGGGGGACTATATGCCAGGGTTGGGAGATTGTAGGGTGGGATTGGGGGACTATATGCCAGGGTTGGGGGATTGTAGGGTGGGTTGGGGGATGGTAGGGTGGATTGGGGGACTATATGCAAGGGTTGGGGGATTGTAGGGTGGGATTGGGGAACTATAAGCCAGGGTTGGGGGATTGTAGGGTGGGATTGGGGGACTATATGCCAGGGTTGGGGGATTGTAGGGTGGGATTGGGGGACTATATGCCAGGGTTGGGGGGTTGTATAACATGTTTTTCGGATTGTAAGGCGGGGTTGGGGGATTGTATAGCATCATAATAGCATGGTTTTGGTATTGTAGGGAGGGATTGGGAGATTGTAGAACGGGATTGGGGGAATAGTGTTCTCGGATTGGGTGAGTTTAGAACAGGATAAGGGGATTTCATGAATGGATTGGGAGATTGTATACCATGATTTGGGATTGTAGGGCGTGATCGGGGATTGTATACTAGGATTAGGGGATGGTAATCCAGGGTTGGGGGAAAGCAAGTCAGGAGAGTGGGGGGGGGGGGTGTAGGCCAGGGTTAAGGTATTGTATGAAAGGGTAGGGAAATTGTAGGGCGGGATTGGGGGATGGTAGGCCATTTATAATTCGAGTGCCAGACTAGGGAATAATAATTGGGAGGGGGGAGGTGGTAGTTTTAAAATATTTACCTTCATAGCACGTTTAATTCATAAACGCATATTGAATACGCAAGATTACTACACATTATGAAATACATGAACATGTGTGAATGTGTAGGCCTACTGGTGTTTTTCATAAGGCCCTGCAGATTTTAAAATTTTAATTATCTAATGCTAATGTTGTATGTTTGTATTCTGATCATTAAATTAAAATATTGTGATTTCATCAAAAGATTTGTTGCATTCGAATATATAATCCATATGAATATATCAATATCCCACCTTTTTAAAAAAATAATCCCAACGTTCACATTAAATACAGTTTTACATATCACTTGACAATGTCAACTAATAGATTCTAAGTCTTGAAGAAAACCTTACCTATAAAAGATACTGCTAATCCGATGAAAACATTGGTTTACTTTTGGCTCTCAGCTATGATCAAAACAATTGTTCCTATCACTGCTAACGGTATAACTAGCTACCTACTTAAAGCCAACGGGATCTACACGTTGATCAAAGAACACAGTCAACCTTTGCGTCCCCTCCCCCCGGTACACAATTGACACATCGTCCGACTTGCGTCCCCACCCTCTCCCCCACCCCCTTCTATTTCCCGCCAAGCATCCACCGTTATCTCCCCGTGTCTCTCAAGGCATTGCGTGTCTCATCACGTGACTGTGAACTCGCCACGATCAACCGGCACGGGACTGCATCTGCAACATCCGACGGGTGGGGAAGGGGAGGGAGGGGTGGGGGAGGGAGGGAGGGGTGGGGGTAGAAGTTTGTTTTAAACTTAGCAATTAGGCCTGCTTCAGTTCAGTTAATATGTGGGAAAGGGGGGGGGGGGGGAGTAATTACAATGGTTTCTGTATAAACTTCTGGAACTACAGGCGAGTGACCCGGGGGGGGGGGGGAATTATTTAAGGGTACAGTTATAATTGTCACGACAGTAATGTGTCGGCTGTAGTATTACGTATATAGTGACACGTCTATAGTGTCACATCTATAGTGTCACGTCTATAGTGTCACGGCTATGGAGTCACGGCTATAGTGTCATGGCTATAGTGTCACGGCTATGGAGTCACGGCTATAGTGTCACGGCTATAGTGTCATAGCTATAGTGTCACGGCTATGGAGTCACGGCTATAGTGTCACGTCTATAGTGTCACGGCTATGGAGTCACGGCTATAGTGTCACGGCTATGGAGTCACGTCTATAGTGTCACGGCTATAGTGTCATAGCTATAGTGTCACGGTTATGGAGTCACGGTTATAGTGTCACGGCTATGGAGCTACGGCTATAGTGTCACGGCTATAGTGTCACGGCTATAATGTTTCGCCTGTATTGTCAAGGCTATAGTGTCACAGTTATAGAGTCACGGCTATAGAGTCACGGCTATAGACATAATGTCACGATTATAAAGTATCACGGCTATAGTCTAGGCTAAAGTTCACGTCCATAGTGTCACGGCTATAGTGTCACGGCTATAGACATAATGTCACGACTATAAAATGTCACGACTATAGAGTCACGGCTATAGAGTCACGGATATAGAGTCACGGCTATAATGTCTTGGCTAGTGTCACGGCTAGAGTCACGGCTATAGACATAATGTCACGGCTATAAAGTGTCACGGCTATAGAGTCACGGCTATAGAGTCACAGTTATAGAGTCACGGTTATAGAGTCACGGCTATAGACATAATGTCACGGCTATAAAGTGTCACGGCTACAGTCAAGGCTAAAGTTCACGTCCATAGTGTCACGGCTATAGTGTCACGGCTATAGACATAATGTCACGACTATAAAGTGTCACGACTATAGAGTCACGGCTATAGAGTCACAGTTATAGAGTCACGGCTATAGAGTCACGGCTATAGTGTCACGGCTATAGTGTCACGGCTATATCGTCACGGCTATAATGTCACGGCTATAAAGTCACGGCTACACTATCACGGACGTTGTCATGTCTTCGGTCTACCTAGCTTATTGCGGGGGGGGGGGGGGGGCTAAAGTTTCCGGTGAGGGGGAGCGGATACTATGTTTCGCACCCAGATTATTAGTTTATATTATGCCAATAGACCTATCATTTAAATATTGTGCTGGTAGCGATTCTTATACAATTAAAAATTAAAGTTAATACAAATAAAAGCATTTAAAAAAATGTACTTAGCAAGATGAAAACATTGACTACGGCTAAACCCCAAGAAATGAGCTCAAATGTTTTAATAAGTGAAACTTCAGGACGGGGAGACATTTGGGGGACATGTCGGGTGTGTGTGGGGGGGGGGGGGGGAAGATGGGGAGGGTGGTGGGTTTTATATGCCATGCCCTACAATAGAGTCTCATCCGGTTTTGTATTACCGTGCGAGACAGCTGTAACGCCTTTATTTATGTGCTTTTTCTCTCTTGGCCTTTTTGGGAATTCCTATAGTGCAATTAATACGGGTGAGAGTGTGCATTGAACTAGAGATGTTTCACATTTTTATCTCTAAACTATTCGGTCAAAAGGTCAATGCTTTAATGAGATGCTATGCTAGGCACTCTCGAAAAATGTGAATCGTGAATATAAGAGAAGTGAACCTAGGTTGGCTAAAGCTGCCAGCCCTACCACACCTTAATACTTAAAAAAAAAAAAAAAAACACTTCTACATCGGCCCGGGTCTAACCATTCACTTCGCTATGTCAGACCCTCCCTACAACTTGGACGTGTTTTCCCAAAATTAACACCCAGGTAACGCCTCCTGTCGAGTTCAGGTGGGGGAAAATCCACTAATGTTGACCATGGCCTGAACCCACCCCCACATTTCATTTCATCAATTTGGGCTCAATTACTGTACAGATGGCTCTACTATTAGTTATATAATTAGGTATAATTACTGTTGGATTCCCTTCGAAGTGGGCATATTACTTGATGCCCTTAATATATAATCTAATGAATACACGAATAGTTACTTTAAAGATGCCCCTACAATGTATTTTAAAAAATATGGATATAATTACTTTACGGATGTCCTTGAAAATTAGTGTAATAAATATGAGCATATTATTTTATAGATGCCCCTATAGTGCATATAGGAATTATCTGGGCAAAAGTACTCTAAAAGATGCCCCTACCTATACTAAATAAATATCACACATTTATTAAGGGAATATTAATGACTACCATAGGACTACCCTTCACTGATACCCGTTATTTCTTTAGAAGTCTTAGGATTCGGACAGTATAATGTCAAAACGAGGGATAGAAGATTGAGCATTACAATTTGTAATAGATGAGATTGGCTAATTAATAAAATTACTCAATACATCTCAAATTTTTGTTTAAATTACAAAGAAAAATATCTTCGTTGGACCCCCCCCCCCCTGGAGTGGATATCCGACGATCCCCCCCCCTGGAGTGGATATCCGACGACCCCCCCCCTCTGTACGCCACTGTTACCACCTCCCCCACCCCGGATGAAATTGAAATAAATTACTTCAATGAATCAACAAGCACCCCGCCTTTCGGAAGTTTCAGTTTCACCCCCCTCCCCTGGAGAACAATGTCTGAATGAATAACCCTAGTCATATGTTTTCCCATTACTAACCATACGCATACTGTGCATGATCTAGCCACAACATAAAGTGTTATATAAACCCTAACGGAACATACAGAGGGCAGTTATTTATACCCGCCCTCTCTTTACAGTCCTAACGGGTGTGTTTAGTCAAGCGTGAAGTAGCCTGAGACCACGTAAAAGAAAACCAACAACCAGTGTCTTACTTTCCGGATAAATTCTTCTGCTAGGGAGATTCAGACTAAAGCTTGGCAGACGACAGACGTTGATTACTCTCTAGCATGAGGTAGCAGTGAAGTCAGCACAGGTTACACACAGTGTGTAGGGTAGGTGTGTAATCTCAGGGTACCAACAGATACACAGGTAACGTGTATGTGAGGCATTGATTTAAATATGTTCTATATTAGATTTCGTTGATTTAACTGTTAAAAAAAATATGATAACATAACGAAAAAGACCTATATATAACATTAAAAGCTTGACTGATGTTTTATATTAAAAATATATCTAATCAACTTTTTCAAACAATTATTAAAAATTAGGGATATATGTAGTAATATTGATTTTATTAGCAAAAAATATGTACTTTATTATACAAAATGTTTAGTGACTAAGTTTGTGTGGTGCTGTCTTTCTTTTAATTTACTCTAATGTTGGAATATTTACACAGAAATTATATACACTCTGTAGTTAACAAATCTTTGCACATCAAAAAGATAGAGTATATTAATCGTAAAGGTAATGTTCGTATTTACAGGAGGAATAGAGTTTACAAGATGGCGGAAAACATGGAGACACTTAATACACAAAACGGTTAGTTTACTCTATACTATAATCTGATTTGTTATTTTTAGATTTCGCGTGTCATACTAAATATAAGTTACATTTAAATTAGTGATTAAAATCTTATATGTATATGTGGCGGGGTAATAGACTAGAGCCATGTTATGTAACACTGACGATAATGTCAGTGAATTTTCAAGATTATATTTTTAGCAGGTTGGATTTGACATAGCAGCTAACAGATTGTACATTCAATCACATGTTTTGCAATCACAAATATGTAGCAAGATTTTTTTTTTTAATGATGGGATTCTGTAATATTTATTTAATCCCACCATTTTTTTTAAATGATGGGATTCTGTAATATTTATTTAATCCCACCATTTTTTAATAAACATCCTCATTACGAAGTGGGATGGTTTCTAGCAAAGTGTCTTTCAAACATCTCTCCAACTCGGAGTCCGAGGTGGGAGGGGTGTCACAGTCGTCGCCCCCCCCCCCCCCCAACGAAATAGAATTTATATGGAATTTATGTGCTTTTACTAGTGTCCGCCCCTCCACGGAAAATTTAGTCCACCGCTATCCCCCGAAAAAGTATCAAGTGTCGTCGTCGTCGTCCCCCCCCCCCCCCCGGAGAAAAAGTTTAAAGAAAAACGGGTTCCTAGATTTGTCTTTACTTTGAGGGGCGGTGGACTGTAACTTTGTAGTGATTGACCTAGACGTCAAAATGTCCCCTTTCTGTTATATGTGAATGACTCCTTTTTTTTGTATACATTATTTTGTTTATTACACAGATAATCGAAGTAGGTACGTAGGCCACACAGACTTACGCAAGCACTTCACTGACTGTAAGGTAAACCCAGGCCATGACAACCTGATACCAATTACAAGATTTACACTGGATCATCTCCCCTTACGTTACCGTGACGATGACGTGTTGAAACTTGTCTTAGGCCTCTCCTATCTTACGGTCATGTTGAAAGTCAGCTACACAAGTATGAAGAGACCAAATGCAGTTTCTTGCTTGAGTGGTCAGTATCCTGGTTATGATATGAGAGGAAGTGACGTGTTAAGGACAGGGACGGGGTTTGTGATTGGTGTAGATATTCATTCTGACACAGCTGCGTATGGGCCTTGTCGTTGTAAAAATTGTGTCGGGAAGGACCAATTAAAACCAAGTGGCGAGATTATTGTACTCACAGCCAGGCACGTGGTGTTTGATGAAAGCGAGGCTAAGTTAACTAGGTGTGTTCTGGACTTTGATGAAAATAACAGCACCGTGGTAAACCTTGATGAGTGGCGCGTTGAATGGGCAGACAGTGAGTCGGATAGGTGTGCGTTGAGGTACGTCACCTGTGATATGGACCTGCTCAAGAGACTGGACAGAGCGTATAAACGCTTCGATGACCTGTTTGTGATAGTCTGTGACAGGTACAAGGAGTTCGCTGAGGAGGACCGGCTGGCGGTTATGGTGTCCCACCCCCACGGGTGCCCGAAACACGTCACCGTGGGGCAGTGGGAGGTGAAGGATATACGTGGTGAGTACAAGAGGTGGATGGCGTCTGTTTGCCCTGGTACTGGGGGAGCCAACGTCTTCAGACCTTGAGTTACCACAGGTAGTGGGGGAGCGAACGTCTTCAGACCTTGAGTTACCGCAATAAGTATTGGCAGGCAAAATGTACCACAAGTAAAAACTTTCACGCTGGTGTGACAGGGTGTGATAAAATCTGTTTGTGACAGGATGTACTCAAATCTTTATAATACATTTTTATTTAATTTTTAGAAATGTTATTTGCATATATCAATAAAACTAATAAAATTAACAAAAAAACAAAACAAACTTGAAAACTATTTTGTTTGCGTCATTTTAATTATTACCGCTAATCAAATTTTCATTTTACAGTTTATTACAATACGGCTTGATCCAGTTAATCCCCTAAACAACTGATCCCCTAAACAACTGATCCCCTAAACAGCTGATCCCCTAAACAACTGATCCCCTAAACAACTGATCCCCTAAACAACTGATCCCCTAAACAACTGATCCCCTAAACAGCTGATCCCCTAAACAACTGATCCCCTAAACGACTGATCCCCTAAACAACTGATCCCCTAAACAACTGATCCCCTAAACAACTGATCCCCTAAACAACTGATCCCCTAAACAACTGATCCCCTAAACAACTGATCCCCTAAACAGCTGACCACCTAATCAGTATATCACGATGACCTGTGACACGCACTAAATATAAAATTGACCAAATATTTCACACTCGTGAAATCTAAGTCACTCGAACTGATATAATTTTGATACTTAACGAAAACTACAACAAAGCAAGATCAACAATCTATTTTTAGACATGATTTAGGACTAAATTACAGCCCTATTCGAGCTAACTATTCGACTACGTTTGTTCTAATCTGGTAACTGCTAGACAGCTTTTGTTAACCATTTTCCGGTGTGAGTTTAACTTTATACAACACATGTTTATCATTCACCAGCACGAGTTTAACATTAGATAGAAATAGCTTGATATAAACCATCATCAGTTAACATTAGCCATCACAGTAAACATTAGACAGTATGAGATTACCATAAAAAAGCAAGAATGCTTAACATTCGACAGAACGAGTTTAACTTAAGTCGATGGCATTGATTGGATGGATTTTTACTTCCATTATACCAATGGCCCATAATTTGAATAATAAATTGCACTTTAAATAAATAACAAGATCTTTTTTTTCTATTATGTATAAGAAAAATGTATTAGGAAAAATGGGAGAAACAGAAGATATAACATGTATACCGTCTACTAACCGACTGCTAACCCGTAAGTCTCGAGTTCGAATCCGGGTTCAAGTCAGTAGACCGTCCCTGAGTCCACCCAACTCTGATGGGTACCTAACTTATGTTAGGGAAAGTAAAGGCGGCTGTGCATAGTGCTGACCACACTATCTCTTCATATGCCGAGGTCACAGAAACAAGTGAACTCTACTTCACTTGCCCCATAGACCGTCAGGTTTGAAAGGGAAACTTTACTTACTTTTTACCGTCTACTATACCCACAATGACACAATCAAGCTTGCGTGCAAGATATTGTATGTCAGCGGTTCTCGACCTCGGTATATGGGGGGGGGGGGGAATGGTGTGGAGTGGGGGGGGGCACTAGGGGTGACTCAGGGTCGTCCTCCATATTCGGGTCGGGACCGAGATCCTCACCCTTTCGGTTTAGCAGTCGAACGCTTTAATACTCGACCACATTTTTAAAAAATGACTGAGCGGTACGTTTACAACCATCACTACTGACTTAGTGTTATGTATTTTGCTCTACTGTACATACGCCTACAACGCATAATCTAATATCTTTTTAGCGCAATTTCCATACTGACAATTGCGATTATTAATTCGTTCTGGATGGATGTGTGTCCGCAGCTTTAAGTCGTATCTCCTCCTCAACGAAGCAATATCGAGGGCTAGTTCCAAAGCAAATATGTTAAGCAAGTTCCAAGGATGATTGTGGGCCAAAAAATTCCCGGAATTCATTCCTGGATTTCCCGGAAAAGCCAAAAAACCTCAAAAAAATGCAGTTTTTGGCCCATATCTCGGCAACCAGACTACTTAACGACTTGAACAATATTGCCGTAGAAAGTTTTCAAAAATAGCCTTTCGTTCGGTCACAAAAAATTAATTAAGGAAATTGCGCTTAAATTGTCACTAGACTTTTTATTAACTTGTTTTAAACCGTTATAAAAATTCATGTCGTACCAGGCTTCGCTATACCGTCCAGCCGTGACGTGTTTAGTCAAGCGTGAAGTAGCCTTAGACCGCGCAATAGAAAACCAGCAATCATTCAATCCCACAACGTGAGAATTTCCAGGGAAATTGTTCTGCTAGATTCCTGCTGAAGCTAGTCTGGTGAACCTTACGCTAGAGGAAACGTCAGCCTAATGAATATAGTGTGTTAATGTCAAGGTGCAACATACAGGTTTAGATCTACATACAGACAATCCCAAGGTGCAACATACAGGTTTAGATCTACATACAGGCAATCCCAAGGTGCGACATACAGGTTTAGATCTACATACAGGCAATCCCAAGGTGCGACATACAGGTTTAGACACAGGCAATCCCAAGGTGCAACATACAGGTTTAGATATACATACAGACAATCTGAAGGTGCGACATACAGGTTTAGATCTACATACAGGCAATCCCAAGGTGCGACATACAGGTTTAGATCTACATACAGGCAATCTGAAGGTGCTACATACAGGTTTAGATCTAGACACATGCAACTTGTATGCGAGGTTTGATTTAATCGGTTTCGTTTTAGATTTCGTTTGTTTGAGATTTTTTTTTTAATTATAATAACTTTAACAAACTTTTTAGGCAGATTAGAAACTTACTTCAATGATTTTTATATTAAAAAAAAAACAAACAACTAATTAATTTAAAAATTAAAGGTCTTTAAAAAATAGAAATTTGGACCAACAAATGGCCATATACAACACTTTTATTATGCAATTACTTTGCTTCGAGCCATATTTTGGTACTAAATAAAAAAAATAATTTTGCTTATCGGACCCGACGATGCGTTGGTCGGTATCGCGTGAAGTCGAGTTCATCTGCATATGAAGGAATAGTGTGGTCAGCACTATGCCCCGCCCTCTTTACTTTCCATAACATGAGCTGTGTGGTCGCGAGCCCTACAAACATAAAGCTATTATCTTTTGTCTTACCGTTTTTTTTTTCTGTCATACATTTCTATTAATTTAAATGTACTGTAAGTTTTTAATATTTAAATACTATTTATATAAAATAGAACAGTTTACGAATTTTTTAATATCAAATGATACTGTTAAGTAATAGGAAAACATCTTGCCTCGAGAAATCTTAAAATAATTTTCCTATTCACAGCTGGGAGACAATTTTCAAGATGACGGAAAAAAAAGGAGACTCCAAAAGCGCAAAACGGTTTCTAGAACTAATTATAATTTCTGTATTTTTATTATTAGCTTATCATAATTTTAATTAATGTTTAAAATATTTATTTTATTAATTTTATAACAAAATGGGGAAGGGTGTTGGAAATGGTACGTTGCATTGTTAAGACTACAACACTGCCTTTGAAGTTTCAGAATCTTATGTTTTGATTGATTAGATAAATAATTTGACATAACACGTTACTTTTACAAAAAACTCAGGCTAAGTGTGTATTTTTTTTTTACTTTGAGAATGTAACAAGTATGAAACTGTTTTCTAAAACTGTGAGATTCACTTGTGTGTTTATTAAGACTAAGCCATCTTTTTAAAACCGACATTCTTGAAGTGAGGGTGAGGAAGCGGTTGGGGGTGGAGGGGGGGTCTAGATATGTCTTAAAATATGAGTTTAGCTTTAGGCAGCACGAGTTTAGCTTTAGGCAGCAAGAGTTTAGTTTTAGGCAGCACGAGTTTAGCTTTAGGGAGCACGAGTTTAGCTTTAAGCATTCAGAGTTTAGCTTTAGGCAGCACGAGTTTAGCTTTAGGGAGCACGAGTTTAGCTTTAAGCATTCAGAGTTTAGCTTTAGGCAGCACGAGTTAAGCTTTAGGTTGCACGAGTTTAGCTTTAAGCATTCAGAGTTTAGCTTTAGGCAGCACGAGTTTAGCTTTAGGTAGCTTGAGTTTAGTTTTAGGCAGCACGCGTTTAACTTTAGAAAACATAAGTTTAAAATCAGAAAGCAAGATTTTAATAATAGTAAACACACATATACTCTTGGTCCATGGTATTGATTTAAATTTATGTATACAGAAATTACGCTGCTGTCAAGATTTATAAAGGACGAGAATTGAATGGAACCTGTTATAAGTTACAGTCAAATATTTAGTGCCCTCGCCTGAAGTCGACGGCTTTATGAATGGCTGTCATTGAATGTCATTATACGAAAATCCGTTCGTATTTTTTCAAGCACTGGGATTACAACTTATTGACCGACTCTGGAATCAACGTTACGAAGCACCAGTCGTGTATTAGAGGAATTTCCCCGGAAAATACGACCGAAACAGAAACTGACGTCATTGTGTCAGTGTGCCTTTTGAAACGTGTTATAAACAAAATCATTGGAGCTTCACATTAGAAGTGGCACAGTTAAGGGAGGTTACTGTAACATGGTTCATAACAGAATAAGGTAATACTAATACTTTTACATGTTACTTTTATTTTAATTTTATTTTAAGCAGTTTTATGTCATTTGTATTTTAACGCTAAAAAAACACTTTTAAAATTATGATGTAATAGTATCAGCCATTTCAAGCATTCGTAGTTCAAAATATATCATGACATCAAGTGAAGTTTCCATTTTTGAACCTGACTGACCTTGGAGCAGGTGAAATAGAGTTTACCTGTTTCTGTGGACTCGGTGCATGAAGGGATAGTGCTTTCAGCACTTTACACAGCCGCCTTTACTTTCCCTAACGTGAATTGGGTGCCCATCAGAGCTATAGAAACGTTTTGCTGACTTGAACCCGGATTCGAAATCGATACTTTCGGGTTAGCAGTCTTGTACTCTACCGCTAGGCCACACCTTCACACTAAAAACTTCATTAAAATACATTATCTATCTATATATATATATATATATATATATATATATATATATATATATATATATATATATATATATATATATATATATATATATAATTCCCTTCTTGGAGACGCTAGAAAACAAGCTGTAAGCGCGCTCCCTACCACCCCACCCCCTACATGGTCTGGTGAGCTGTGGTTCACGCTAAATGTTTACAATCGTAGAGCCGGGTTTAGTGACGGCTATTAGGGG